TGATACGTGACGGGTCTGTAAGGAAGAGGGAGAGAGCGCTCCGTTTATTATCCCGTGCTTATTGTAGTACTGTTTACTTTTGAATAATGTAGTTAATCTACTATAATTAGTTTGTTTAATATCGAATCATATCAATTTGTTTTAAAGCTCAATAAATAACAAAGAAGACCTTTGACCGGCACTTTTCAAATTTTGTCAGGAAGATTTCAACTTTAACGGACATGTTGACCGGCAAAAAATTATTCTAACGGGAACTCTGATGCTCTGTGCAGTACAGGTTAGCTCTGAGTGTTAGCGATGCTAATGTAAACATGCAACGACCATATTACGTCCAAAACAGTCGGGCATTGTTTCTGGTAGGGCCGTGGGTGTAAAGCCAGCCTACATTTCCGATATTACGTCATATCGGACGCAAATCTGGATCAGCTCCGTTGTAGCCCCGTTTTTAGAGATTTGGGTACGGAGGAAAAGAGAGGTTTTAATTTTCTGATGCTGCGTGTATGTATAAAAGACATCAAAAAGTGCATTTTGCATGATAGGTCCCCTTTAAGTAGGTCATAAAAAAGGCATAGTATCTATCACTTGTCAATAAAGAGAAACCCTGCGTCATCACTGTGTGTGAAATGCTTTGTCCTCACCTGATCCTCTCCGAGTCCGAGGGGTGGGGCATGTGCGTCCATGCTGACTCCTGCATGGCCTGCTGGTAGAGCTGGTCTTTGGGGAGGGGGGTTGGGCCGAGGGGACAGACCCCTAGCGAGGGGGGAATGCTGACTTCCGACACGGACGGCTGAGGGGCGGCAGGTGTGCCGGGCGCCGCAGACGAACTAGAGAAGATATCTGGAGGAATAGAGGTGAAGGATTGAGAGGATAGAACACACTGAAGCAGCTCACTGCCACACTCCTGCTTCCTCTTGATGTAGGACATGGTTTAATAAACAAGTACATATATTATTATAATATGTGTTACAGGCTTTGTATTTGTTTATATATTTATATTCAATATATTTTCCATATCAATACATTCATCTCAATATATGTACATCTTTTAAACAATCATTTTCATTATTGACTGAACTTGAACCTTGTTTTGATTTAATCATCAGATTAAAATTAAAAGGTAAAAAAGTAGTAATGATGTCTTAAAAACATCTACTTATTATTTTACTTGGTCTGGAAATGGTATAAAAAACAAGAGAGAGGAAGCAACTGTATTTGTGAGGTGGTAACTGTAAATGTTTAAATATGAATTGGAAACGTGAAATACATTTCAGATGGCCAATTGATCAATAGCTTTGGTGCTTTATGGGTATTTTGACTCTACTTCTCCCAGTACAAGCTGCTCTGGAGTTAAAACATCACCTATTTATCCCCAATGAAATGTAATGGTGAGTCACCTACACTTCAGTAATTAGTCAGTGTTCATGTGGTGTACAGAGTAAAACTATGAGCTTGTTGTTCTGCACTAACTCAGTGTAGAAAACAAGATGTCTGAGCGTCCGACCTCTCTCTGTTAGGTGCAGGTTGGGGATCTCTCCATCCAGACCGGATCCCAGCGCTGCTCTCTCAGCCATCGCCTTCAGAGAGCTGAGAGGCTCGGGGGCCTGAGGCGGGGGGAGAGGGAGACAGCATGAGGACAGGGTGGTGGACCGAATTCAATGAAGTGGGGAAGAGAGAGGAACATCTTTGGTTATAGACACACCCTACCTTTCTTGTAGTTAGGTGTGTAGCTGAAACAGACCAAAAGCTAGAGAAGGGCAATTCCCACACACTGTTGTTTACTTCCAAAGTCACTTTTAGAGATACAACGTTTCCTAAGGACTGAAACATTGTATCACTAATACATTTCATGCAGAAATTCCCTCTCTTTCTTCTTACTAAGGCACCTAACTAAACTGGTGAAAGACGCACTGATACAAAATTCAGCTACTAAATAAATTAATACTAATCTTTTTTTTTTTTTCTGCCACAGCTAACGCATTGTAAAACAATATTGTTTAGTACATTCTATACCGATACAGAGAGTTGGGTATATACTTTGGTAAGTCCAGATATATCGTGACATTACGACCTAAATGCAGATAATACTAACTGGAGATCACTTTTTCTCCCACTGTCTGAAAGCTGTCTGAAACCAGCATGTTTGTCTTGTCTGTCAAATGTCTCCATGTCAGCTACAAACGCCTCAGATACACCTGATTATAAGCGTTGTGGTTCACGCCTCAAAGTGGGTCCTCCTTTAGACCAGTATGTGACTCTAACAACGTGTACAGCTCTCTCTCACGCCCCTGTCCCTCACCTTGAGGGCCTCCGAGGCCTGTGTGTAGGAGTGGGGCCCGTTGAGAAGACTCCCTCCACCGGGTGTGCTGTCAGAGAACGAGGGGGACGGAGAGCTGGGAGGCAGGGTGATGGAGCTGATTAAACTGGAGCCGTTGTCCATCCTGCAGCAGAGCGGGAACAACAGAGACAAGTTATTACTAACAGGAACATGCACAAGCACACTATAATAGACATACACACTCTCTAGAAGTGAAAGCACACTCTCACAGGCACAAACACTTCACTTGAGATGACTGTCTGACTTTATTTATTCCTCCGCTCATTTCTTTCTCTACCAACCATCCTTTTGTTTGTTTCTATTATAACTGCAGCTGCAAATATCATAAACAACTCAAGTACTTTTGGCCCTAACTGACTCCACACAGCTGCTTTCCTTCAACTACACACATCTTATCCATGCACATCCATAGTTAACCCCTCGATGTTAATATTATATATGTTGTTAAAATAAGTATAAACAACAACTATCATGTAAAGAATAAGTGAATAAGGAAAAACGTACGGCTGACTGTTTGAAGAACTGAGAGACGAGGGCTGGCTGCTTTGTGACTGGCTCGGTGTGCTTAGAGCTGATTCTGTCGAGTTCTCTGCCACTACAGCACTGTAACCTGAGGGCCGGAGGGAGAGGTTAGAGAACATCCTTTCTGAAGACAATGTTGACTTAAACAGATGAGTAACACAAGCCCAAGCGCAACAAGTTAACATACTTGTGCTTCCATTTTGCTTTAGGCCACTTGGTGGTCGCGCAGGAGCAGCATTCACGCCAACATTCCCTCCATTGCCTCCCATCATGCCAAGTGCTCCGGGTGTCGTGCTGACAGAACTCGGGGGCAGCTGAGAGGCACCGGGGGCTATATTTTGCCCAGGAACCAAACTCAGAATACTCGCACTCAAAGAGTTGTGGGCCGGGCTGGAACCAAGCAAGCCGAGCCCCAACCCCGCCCCGTTGGTGGTGACTCCACTGGAGCCAGAGGGGGGGATGGAGGTGCTGCTCTCGGCTGAAATGATGGACTGAGTGATGCTGCTCAAACCCAAACCTCCTGATGCTGCCTGAGCGTAGGGGGCCGGGGTGGAGCCTGAAATGAGCCCTGCCATTGTGTTTAAGGGGGAGTGGTGGCCGCTAAGACCCAAACCAGACATTTGGTTGACACTGCTGGTCCCCGTCAGGCCGATATTGCTCAAACCCAGACTCAGCCCGAGTCCCAAACTGGATGCCGGGGTGGGCATGGATATGAACTGTGATTGAGAGATGGGAGCTGAGGAAATGGGTGTGGTGGGTGTGGGGAGAGAGGGGGCATGTGAGCTGGGAGGAGGGGGTGGCTGGGCGGGCTGGGGGTGTTGTTTGAGGGGACAGAGGGTTTTGTCTGAGGTGGCTGTTGCTGTTGTTGCTGCTGCGGTTGGTTTGGTGGCAGAGGCTGCAGCTGTAGTGCAGGTTGATGTTGCTGCACCGCACTGCTGAAGCTCCCTATAAGACTGCAGCTGGGTAGAACCGTGGGAATGCCTCCGATAACACTCGCCATGGACACGAGGGAGGAGGACGAGGAGGACCCCGAGGTCGTGGAGGACGAGAAGGAAGATAGCAAGGATGGGGTGCCGTTCTTCACAGGCGACTGAAAAAGGATACCAGAAAAAAGTATTTTAGACAAAACTGTTCAGAGGGCAGCTTCAGTTGAGAGAAGTCAACTAGAAGTTTAATGGGAATGATGTACTTCCATGTATGCAGATGATGCTACAAACTAAATCAAAAGTCTCCAACCATGAGAGAGAAAAAGTTTTTCCATTTCCAACCAGAATCCTTCAGCCTCTGTGGCTCTCAGGAGTGAACAGCACGGCACTAAACTGTTTGTCTACTGGCACAGTACGGAAGAGAGCCTCTCACCTGACTAACTTCACTGTCTGTCGAGCGTCCCCTTTTCTTATCGTCCTCTGAGCTCTCCTATAGGAGAAGATACCTTCATATGACAATCCACTTTTGAAATGTTGATTCAGCAAACGAGTCAGTCGATTACAACACAATGAGGCTTATAGAAGGTTTAACAAATGCAAAACTTTAGAGAAAGATATTTTCAAAATGTTGTCAGAATGTGCTTTTTCTACCCAGCATCCCTTTGAACATACTGACCCAGATGTTCAGGCTACAAACACAATACTTACAGCAGTGCAAGTGGCCGGGGAAGGAGGAATGGGTGAAGAGGAGGTTGTGGAAGTGGGAGTGCTGCAGGATTGCAGGAACATCTCATCATCCAGAGGGCCCTGACCCGACGGAGAAGTTGTCACTAATGCTGATGTTTACAGAAAAGACAGGACAAAGACAAGGGACAGATGTTTCCATTATAACACATCTGTTGTCTGGATGAATGCATCAGGGTAACATCACACAGTACTCTCTACTCACGGATGTCATCCAGGTCTAAGTCGTCGTAGATGAACTCATTCTCCTCAAAGTCCGGGTCCTGAGACGAGTCGATGTAGTAATCAACATCATCCTTGATCTTCAGGATTGAATCCACCACTATAGAGTCATTGTCCAGCATTCGTAAAATGGTCTCCAACATGCGAATGTGGAATCGATGCCTTTCAACCATTCGTTTGAGCTCCTCAATGCGATCCTGTTCCATCATGAAAGACACAAAGCATGTGTGTAGTTTGTGTTCGAGGAACAGACTAAATATCCACTCATTCTTTTTGTATACGGAACAACATATTGAGAATGAGACGAAGGACTTACATCTTTGTCGCCCTTCTTTTTTCTTGTCTGAACTGAAAGAGATTCTATCTCACTTTCAAACTGATCCACCTGCATATTGAGAGTGTCTATCGTACACTGGGGGTGAGAGAAAAGAAAAGAGTGTTAATGCTTTTATCAAACTGCCTATGAGGAAATATTAGGCCTCCTAAATGAGCAATAGGTATAGATAATAGAGGACGTATTACCGTTAGCCACAGGCCCGTTTCCTCTTTTTCCCTCTGAGCTGGATCCACTTTCTGAGCGAGCCCCAAGCCTTCTTTCGAGTAGGCTTTTGTTTTTGTTTCACGTTCCACCACCTTGAACCGCTCCATTTGCTGAGGAAAGAAACATGGGGCTTGTTAAGTTACTATACAATACTAAAACTATAATAAACAGGACAAGTAAAAGATGGAAAACATACCGTCTCTATTAGTTTGCGGTTTTCGACTAGCTGCCTTTTGTCTTTGATCTCGTTTGAGGCCACCCATGTTTTTATCTGATCTCTCAGTCGCTGGGAGGAGGACAGACAGGGAAAATATTTAACCACAATAGCAAATGTAATAACTGTTGACCAAGAGTACAGATAAAGAAACAATGTGAGAGAAAATGCGTGTTCATTCATTTATCTCACCTGTAGTTTTTTAATCTCTTTCTTGAGGTCAGCCTCGTATTTTTCCTTCTGGTTTGCATTGGCTGCATTATGGAGCTAAAATTGTGAAAATAAACAAAGATATCTTGGTATCTGCAGCGTCCATTTGATCAAATAGTATAGTAGTAATAGTAGTTTTATCATAGAGTATCAAACAAATGCAAAGATCTCTTACCTTTTGCCAGATGTCTTCAAACTGTTCCACACCTTCAGCTACTTTTTTCAAACATCTGTCGATCTCACCTGTGGAGAATCAATATGTGGTCCAACATCATAGTGTTAATCTGTGCAACACCAACAACTTTTGAAGTTGCGGTCAGTGTAAGTCTCTGTGCAGGATGCTGGGCAGTGTGATGGATCATGAGCATCCTCCTCACTGATGAGCATCACCAACAGTCTTACCTTGAAGTTTTCTCTTGTCAGCCATGGCTCTGACTACGACAATGTCCACATTCCGTCTGCCACGAAGACAAATATGTAAAGTAAACAAAATGTGCATTCAAAAACCCCACATCCTCTCAACAGAGCATCGGTTTGCAGAGAGTGAACCTGACGTTACCTCCAGCTGGCTGGACAGTTATATTTAGCAGCACAAATAATGTTATCTCTAACGAATCAAATAATACTTTAAACCAGAGCTTTTGTATGGTCGTTGATCTATTGCAATATTTTACTAAACGTAGCTGATCTCGTATGACAAACATGGTTGTCAGCTAAAATTAGCCACCTAGCCAGCTAACGTTAATACTAGCTGCCAGTATCTTAGCTCGTCCACCTCGCTCGGTACCAACCGGCCCGTTTCAAAACAAGTACCACGGAGCACACTGATGGATGGAAATAATATTCATGCATCATAATTGTGGGGTCCAGAATAGCTTTTATATGGTGGGCTTGCGTTATGAAATGCACAATTTATCAGATTCCGTTCTAATCTTTAACCTGCTAGCTAATATGGCTAACTGCCTGACTAGCTAATGCATAAAATGCTAGCTAGCCTGCTAGCAAAATTTAGGAAAATGGGAAACTGGGTCAACCCGAGAATGTACATTTATAGCTGTATGCGACATTTACCTATGGTATGGGCTTTCGTTTGTCTTTTTTCAAATACAGCCAAAACTAATTCCAAAAAGTCTTCTTTACTTCCAAATTGTGTTTTCTTTTCGACAAGCTGGCTCACTGTAATGTAGCTGAAGATGGACGGTAGCTAAAATCCCACCTCCGTTTTTAGATACCGCCCTAAATCGAATCTATGAAATCTGATTGGACAAAGCTCCTGTCTGTCACTCAAAGATATCCGCTAGAGTAGGGCTCGTTCATTGGCTGAGCGTCCTGATGGAGTATGATGGACAAGATAACAAAACTGAACCTGAAATCAGACATCCACAATTGTTCTCTGAAACATATCTATATAGGGGGTTTACAATACATTTCAGAAAACGTGTTATACAAAACATAATTGTCTTCATGAAATTAATAAATCATTAATTCATTAATCAACTGAAAAGTGTTTTTTTCAACTGCCAGAAATATCCACTTCAGTGGCACCTACATCAACTTTCTTCCATCTATATTCTTTATAAATCAAATTTCAGAAAAGTTACATTGACAAAAAGGATCGTCTGCTTCTGGTCAAAATCAACAAACATGATTAAATGCAGACTTTAAAAATGTTGACAATAAAAACATGAAAAACATACAGTCCAATTGCCAAATAGTCATTTATTTCAACAGGTTCTGAAATAAAATCATGAACCATAATATCAATGACATTATCCAGGGAATCAATTGGGAAATCTATTAATAAACACAACTTTGTAACTCTAATATAAATGTATCTAGTTTATCAAATAATTAACAAACAGCCCCATGTATTACAGTGTGCAGTTGGCCAATGGTCATAATTATGCATCGTTATCAAATAAAAGTACAAAATATTTCTACGGAAAATAAAATATACAAAACAAATGAATACTTGTACCAAGTGTACAACATATCGTTTTATCTTACAATGGTACAATCGGATCACAATGTTAAAGATAAACTAAAACAGTGCAAAACCCGGCGGAGAGGCAGCGTTTCTACTGAAGAGTTAATGAAACGGTGTGCTCCTTCTGCATCATCATCATCATCATCGTCATCATCAGGGCCACAGTTCAATGATCAGTGAGACAGAGAGGTCGGGCTGGGCATTTCTCCAAACTGATTCTCTGCCAACACTGACATGTCTGCTTCAGTCTGGGAAAAGAAGCACACACTCAGTCAACAGAAAATCAACTATGCTTTCATTAAAGGATCAATAGGTTATGTATGGGCATTACTTTAGTTAAAAACATCACATCGCGTGGCAGAGACATCTACTGATATTAGCATGCTGTCGTGTAGGAACACTTTTTCTTCATGAGTCCAGTTTGACCTCGGTCCAACATAAACCCTGGAGGGCTCGTCAGCCACGCTGAAGGTTCATGGTCTGTACACATTGATTCATAGTTTATTTTTAGTATTAAATCCAAATTGGCAGTTTTCAAAGCAACTATCAAAGCAAACATAGGCTGTAGAGACCTTGGTTAGTGGATTAAACAGAAGTTTGATTGTATTTTGTGTATCCTTGCCCTGCTGCTATTTTTTATTTATTTTTTATATAACTGATGATTATACAAGTTCATGGACCTAGTAGCAGCATTACACCAAAGCATAATGCTGCTCCCTATTTGGAGAATGTGGCCTGGCGTTACACATTGCATGATTCATAACATCCATCTGCATTTCAAACCAACCATTCATGCCTCCATAACTACATAATCATCCAAATCACACTCGCACAAAAGAAACATTCAAGAAACTAACTGATGCATAAAAGCTAAAGGTATGGAAAAAAAGCAGTCCAAAAGAGTTTTGACTCCTACCTGTTGGTCTTTATCTTTTTCTTGCCGTGGTATTCTGTGTCTTTTCCTCTTTGGCAGCGCAGCATGAGGCAACGCAGCAGACGAGGAGGAACCTGACACACCGTTAGGCCGGTCATCCTTCACTCCTGCAGCAGGGTCTAAATGGACTCCAGGCTCATCCTGAAACAAGGTACACATTTTTTATTTAAAATGCATTTAACAAGCTTGAGCATTTATTATTAGTACATTAAACAAATCAGCAGACCAGCTGGGAAACTACCCCGGCATCTTTGTGTATATATTGGGTTTTGGTCATCTAAACTCAAATATCAACGGAAATACTAAAGTACTTAATTTTCCATTTAAGAGAGGTGTATAGTTTTGCCCCATACACCATAACAGGTTAACCCGTACATGGTAAAGTGCTTTAGTCAAACACATGAATACAAATGTCTTTCTCGTGAATTAGGTCAAAATCTGGCATTGAAAATAATTTACGATCAACTTGCAGATGATTATTTAAAAAAAACTGGGTTATTTTCTTTAGAAATGTATCCCATTCAACAACATGTCCATTTTCTCACCTCTAGAAGTATAGTGAGCTGGGCGTTCCTGTAGTCGTCCCCATGAGCATCTAAAGTCTTCATGAGGAACCTGCAAGATTAACATAATCTTCAGACGGACCATCGGGGGGGCAAACGTAGAAAGTGATTTACTGTAAAGAGGTTTCGTACCGTCTCTCCTTCTTCAAGCGTCGTGTTATTCTTTGTACTTGATGAAGGCGACCAAGAATCTTCTGATTCACCTGAAAAGAAAAAATACACCATCATGCCTGGCCGGTTTGAGTTAAAAAAAAAAAAAAAAGGTCATATTGCAAACGGCATTTCCAAAAAGAATAGACAGTCCTGTGCCTGCATTTTATTTTCTAATTGAGTGTTGGTTTGACACTAAGATAACAAGGAACTTAATGACAATAGACACAAATATGAGCCAATTGCATACCCTTTGACAATTATATGTAAGCTTGCACACACCTGTTCAATGTCTTTACATCTCCTATTCAGAGCCAGATATTTCCTCTTATCAAGGGCTCTCCTCTCTTCATCGTCCTGCTCTGTCCCCTCCAGCAGCTCACTGCCTCCCGGGCCCAGCTCCACCTGAAGAGAAACATATCATGGTTTTTGTTTTGATCTGAATAAACTTTCTGTGTCATTAATGCATACAAAAAGTCAGAAATGTACTCCAAACCCAACAGGACTTCTTTTTTTTAACACTTTATTTATTGTTTTTTCCCAAACATAACACAATAACAGGAGAAAACCCAACAGATCCTTGCTCCACCTACTAAGCTAAACCTGACAACTTTCATATAAGACACTCTTAATTAAAATATTTGGACATATAATTCATATGTAATAAAGACTAATTAAGTAATTTCTGTCACAATCATAACATTTCAATGAAATTGTGGCATACATAGGTCAAATTCAGAGTATATTTAAACTAGATCAAGGGTGAGACTCGAGCTTCGGTCCCTAAAGACAGAGATTATCAGACCAATTTAAATAGTGTATTTACTCTCTCTTACTCTAGCTAAGGTGTTGTTAAAACTGGTCATATTTGATACAATCAGTACAAAGACTGCTATGTGTAATACTTCTCATGACTTTGTGGCAAAGGGAGCACTAGCTACCAGGCGTTACAACATTAACATTCACTTTACCTCCCCTGGTCCCAGCTCCACGCCACCAGGCTCCAGCTCTGCCTCCAGGATGTGTCCACCGAACAGAGGAGGCAAAGCCAAACCAGAGAAATCCTCCATCATCTGGGAAGGAAGACAGAGAAGATTCATAATACAATTCATGCAGATACAATATGTGTAGGTAGTAGTACAAATCTCCTGTAACAATAGCACCAATTGTGATGATTGTTTATGGAGTGGAAGAAGTAAAAGTAGCCATACTACAGTGTAAAATAGCCCTGCATTAAAACTCTTAAGTTAAAGTACAAAAGAATAAGCATCAAAATACATTTCTAGTAGCCAAATTACTCATCATGCAGAATGATAATGTTATATTAATGGATCATTTTTTGGTGATGCATTATAAATCATATAAGGGTTGATTTATAGTTTGTATATAAAAAAATCTAAATATGCAAATCTATTAAATACATGTAGTCGAGTAAAAAGTACACTATTTGCCTCAGAAATGTAATGGAGATCAAATGTAAAGCATGATAGTATGGAGGGATTCAAGTACCTCAGGAAAGTAGTAGGTTAGAGTTACGTTAACGCTCAGAAGGGAAAGCCCTGCTATTATCAATGAAGGACTGTCGCACTAGGAGATAACATGCTGTCTCCAGTGGTGGAATAAGTATTCAGATTCTTTACTTGAGTAAAAGTACACACACAAACTGTTAAAATACTACATTTCAAGTGAAAGTACTGCATTGAGAATGGCACTCAAGTAAAAGTATTAAAGTAAGATTAGGGAAATGTACTTAAAGTATCCAGGGTAAAATAACTAATTGTTAGTATTTTAATATTTAAAAAACGTCTTAGCAAATTTGCTAACAATTCATCTCCTGTTAACCCACTCATTGTTGCAGTTACTTAAACATAATGTTGGATGGTTTAATCTATACCAAATATCTTTTTTTAAACACACTGTGTTGTGTGTCAAACTATGAATTTGTAAAGTCACTACTAAATACATCTGTAAAATAAATTTAGTGATGTAAAAAGTACAGAATTGTCTCGCAATGTAGTGGAGTAGACGTATGAAGTAGTATAAAATGAAAATAGGTAAAGTATAAGTACCTCAAATGTGTACTCAAGTGCAGTACTTGAGTAAATGTACTTAGGTACTTTCAACCACTGGATACATCAATCTACATAGTAACATGACTTACATTTATGAATGAAAGGTCCAACAGCAGTTGCTACGGGTTACAACTCCTCTACAAACCGTTTTAACGGTCAAACTGCTGCATAGACTGTGTATTATTCTTTGATGTAAACAGTCAGGCTAGCTAAGAGTGTTTTCTCAAATTAAACTGAGCTAAAATCAAACGTAAAGCGAAGGAAGAGCAGTCCTTTCGTTCCATTCTCGTCGATGAACGAATGTTTTTGTGCGACGGGCGCAGAAATCATACGTCAGTTGTTAGTTACTACATTTCCCATGAGCACACACGCCTTCTGGAGTTAAAACTACAAAGATCAACATGGCGGGTATGTGACTATTTGGTCCTCTTTTATGCATTGTAGCTTTTAGAAATACCTCCATGTAGCATGCTTTATTAATTAAAGCACTTAAACTACCCTGATTATGTCTCCGGGTTATTTTAAGACAATGGTTTCTATTCTAAATGCCTCTTAAAACATGACCTTGATGTGTTGCTAACGGTGGCTAACGTTAGCTTCCGTGGGTTGTCAGCTGTGGAAGATGTAACCTGTTTGTGTTTATCTGCAGCAATCGGAGTGTTCCTGAAGAACGTGTGGAATAAAGAGCCCGTTATCCTGACCGCCTGTACTATTGGAGCGTTTGGTAAGTAACCAATGTCATTTAGCTCAGAAATGTGTGGGATAGAAAGAGAGACAGCATTGTACAGCTTGCTTTGGAAATACTGTACTGAATGAACAACATTAAGTATAAAGATAATTACAAGTATCCCAGATATGGTCCATAGACTGATAAAAGTAACCAAACAGTACAAATGAGGTTGAATATAATAAAAAAGGCAAGTTGATGCCTTGAGATGTTATTATATAAAGTGTGATCGGAGCAAGTTAATGGATACAACTTAAATCAGAACTCACGAATGGGAGTACGGTTTGCTCATTTTCTATCGTTTTTGTTTATTTATGAGTTTTTTTACAAGCCATGTTTTTTTGTTAATTGACCAATGTAAACACAGAGTTCATAACAAAGTCTAACTAATATACTGTATATGGTTAATACTTTGTTTTTCCTATTATTATTGTTATAGGGGTGATTCTTCCATTTATCAGCCCATTCACAAAGTACTCGACAATGATAAATGCATCTGTGCCGTACAACTACCCAGGTAAACAGTAAATATTGTTTCATATTTGAGTGTAATTGAAAAAGGCTGCACAAAGACCCTGTTTTATTAAAAAAAAACATTTGTTCAAATCTTGTCAATTGAAATATTAAAGATTGTTTCCCTTTCTACCCCGATGCAGTCCCTGTGCGAGATGATGGAAACATGCCTGATGTCCCTGCTCATCCGTCTGAACCAAAAGGACCAAGCTTGGAATGGCTTAAGAATCTTTAACTTAACATTCCCACGATAAAAGCGAATGAGGTTCCCTTTGTTCACCCGAGTCTGCAGAGCTGCTCCCCGTATCAATGTACTGCAATAAAGATGTATTTAATTCTACTATTGGGTCACATTTTATTTATTTATGTTGAGAATTGATCCAAATTATAACTCCAAGTTATAATTTCCCACAATTAGACTGTTGAAGTTTGAACAAAGCTCAAAAGTGAGGTCTTAATTATTTTCACACGCCTTTTAGAGTAAACCTTAAAATGACCATACCTCATAAAGTTTGCATGAAATATGTTTGACCTTCTCCAAGACAATTGCTGGATTGGTAGACCTAAATCTCAAAACCTAAAAATTAGAACCAATTAAAACCGTCTATCAGGAAAATGACCAGGCATTAGGATTTTGGTTTTATTTTTTTCAGAGCAGATCGTGAGAGTTTTGAAACTAAGCTTCGACACAACCCTGATCCTTCAGAAGAGGCTTAACCTGACAAAGCTGGAATCAGACCAACACTCCTAAAATATGAATAGTTTGTTTCATACCAGCATTATTCTACTTGCAAGAGTAAGAACAATATGCAGACCGGTACTGCATGACGACTCAGCTGCTACAGATAAAATATGAAATTGGATAATTCAGATATTCATTTAAACATCTGTACCTGTGTCGCTTCATGCATGCACTGCGTCCTCCCCCCCCACAGACAAACTCAAACATACAGAGCAAATGTGGACAGATATTTCTTTCATAGAACTTTTATTTCACATCACATCAATATTCAGTGTTTCACGTAAAGAATGTCTTCCTCAGCGTATTTATCATAATATAATATATTTTGCAGTCATCAGGATTTCATGTTATGCAATATAGAGAACTGACAGACACATCTGTTTACATCGCTTCATATTTGAAACGTAACGAGGAACTATGAATAGATGTTAAAACGATATTTCACTTTGGAAGAAGAGTTTTGGACTTTGAAAAAGTTCCTGTTTAAGCATCTTTTTTCACAAGTTATGTCCATCTGCAGTATTGATGAGAGCACAATGTACAGATTACAAGTGTTTTGAGACATTTACACATACTTTCTGTTCATGTACACAACACCCACACATTTGCTATTGATTTTGCAATACATCTTTTGTTACATATTTATAATAGTTATATTTTTAACAAACTCTTTATGTATTTCTTACGACACATTACACACTTTGCATATATGCTTTATACTAGCTGTCTGTATTAATGTCTACACTCTGATTTCTGCATTTTTTTAATGTATGCACTTCAAGCGCAAAATCATGTGTATTATAATATTTTTCTCATTATCGCTAGCCTTAAATGTCGTTAATGTTTTGTCCTTTATATGAATCACTAATACTGACAGTTATAACGACCCCAGTCCCTGTGTCTAGTGTCTATTTAAACCAATAATGCGTCACTTTGAATGATCACTGTGTTATTTCTCGTTCAGAATCGGAGATAAAAGTTTAAACACCACAACTGACATGCGCAGAAGGTTTACAAAGTCAAAATGTTCTACCAAAGTGAAATATCATTATAAAAATAGTCAAATAAAAGTCATACAATCACACATGTTTTATGCACTATTTACAAGTATGAATAAGCATTAGCTCTATCATTTTGTGGTCACCTTTATATATGATGCCATACTACTAGTAATATCAATGCTGTTAGAGATGATTTACTACAACCCTTGTGGGCGTTATTTTGAATCTTCAAGGTGCTAAAGACCACAGAAGGTATTTACAACAGAAACACAAACCATTTAAGCTACAGAATATTACTTTGGATATCTCTAGTTTACCATTAACACTGGCTAAGACAGTGGTCACATCCCATTATGCTTTCTTCATCACTTTCATAGGAACATTTCCCCATTTAAACTCAATCCTATCATCCGTCACAGCTTTCACATCTCTCGGAGATTCTGCTCAGTCTGATTGGTAAACATTCAGCTACAACTAGCCTAGATGTTATCTAGCTTTAAATCTGTCACTGAAAAGGAATCAAGAAGACATCGAATCCAAAGCACGCAAATCTCTCTTTCTTTACACATTGAGCCCTCCATAACATGCTACTTTCTAAAAACACTTTCAGTAATAACCCCGTCCAAAGGTTCAACAGTTTGTCTGTGGAGCTCATAAGCTTTTCTGTTTCTGCGTTTTAGAGGACTTCAAATATTGGACCTGGGAACAAACAGGTCTCAGTCATCAATCATTGGAAAAATCAAATTAAGGGTTGTTGGGTTGTTACAACTTATTTTGAATCCATATACAAAAGAGTATTACTGATTCTGGCACTATTACTGAAAGTTGGATTTTACTCTCGACCTTTTGACGTTTATGTCAAAATGCAAAAAAAACACAACATTTCCTTCTATCATTTTTTGCCCTTACGCCTTGTCTTATAATTCTTTCATTAGGTAAATAATTCCACTAATCCAAATATCTACTTTCATAAAATGTTTATATGTAACTTTACAGTACATGTCATGTTAACGGGCAGAAGCAGCATAGCCCATGTTTAGTCATATCAACGTAAATATGACACAAAATAACTCAATTATTAGTAAAATATGCCAGGACTCTATCAAATAAACATTTAACTAAAAGGTAAAATGTCACCTTAATTGAAACCTAAAAACAATCTGGCAGCTTTTCTAAAAATATAATTTTGTAATATCACTTTAAAAGTAGGAGCCTGTCCTCTTACTGTAACACTTCATGACAGTGAAACTTCACAACCTGCTTTTAGGAGCCAGTCCCTAAATCAGCTCAACAAAGAAAACTTTTTATCTGGATATGGCACAAAAAACCACTACAATTAAGATTATGTCGAGAAAGGAAAATTCACTGTTACACTGTAAGGAATATAAGAGGCACCTTCCATAAACCAGGAAAAACATTACAATGTTAATTATTCTGAAAGAAACAGTTAGTCAATCTGAAACACTAAGCTAACAGCCAAACACCTACCTTCTGTTTCATTAAAAATAGCCTAGATTTATGTATAATTTCACTTTCAATTTTTCAGACATTATAATGGTCTTTTTTCAAATGAACAACTTCATCCAAAGTAAAGAATCAACATAAATCAATGTGAAGTTTCCAGGATTCAACCTGAGGTTTGCTGGACTGACAGAGACCACAGAGAACATGACGCCACCGCCGCAGCGGGAATAAAACTCTTACTCAATGATGGGAGCTGAGCGATCGTTGGTGACAGTTCTTCTGAGTCGAACGTGGGCAAATGGATTGGCCCTGAAAGGAAAAATCAAAGGTATAACAATTGTACAATACCAACACTGATGACCAAAGGAGTTGCCCCACCAAACAGTAAAAACAGCATGGGGAAATGCAACAAACAGGTATAAATAATAAATATGTAAATGTACACTTTCAAGGTAGCTGAACAGACTCTCATAGTTTTTAACATTAAGTTACACTTCAAGCACTAACGCTTTCAAACTTTGTACCGACCCGGTAATGTTGTTAGCATTTAAACATTTCCTATTGAGCTATTATTTGTTGGAATCACTCCTATTAGGATGGAAATAATTGTGCCAACTTAAACTATTATTTTATTTCTTGTCTCACACTTTTTAACACGCTGGCTTTGAGTTTAAGTCAGATATGACTAGCAAATTGACTGTGACATGTACAATTGGTGAAATTACCCTTTGATGACAGCGCCTTTGAATTGCTAAAACTTACCTTGAGTTTGGGGAGGGTGGAGGAGAAACCAACTCAGCAGTGATCTGTAATGCAAAGAAGAGATAATATTAACGGATAATTTGACAAATTAAAGACATCTGTATCTATTCCATTAACAGAGAGGCTCAGTGGGGAGCAGACTTTGACCTTTGACCTCCCAAAGAGTTCATGTTTCTGACCTTGGTGCTGTCGGCCATGCTGAACGGGCGCGGGCGGAAGGTGCTGACCCTCTGGGGAGGAAGGGAGTGCTCCTCCTCTGATTCGGGGGTGAGGGCCGGGAGACCCGGAGACACCAGCTTGTCGAGCTGGCCGGTGCTGGTGCTGTTAGCCTTAGATAAGAAGAGAGAGCTAGAGGAAGGTCACGGAGAGGAAAAAACACAAAGGAAACATGAGTCGAGAGAATCTGTTCTTGTGTCAAATCCTCAACGAAGCTGTTGGTGTTGGAAATGAACTTGATAAGGAAACAACGGTGGAAATACTGAGAGGGCAAATAGTTCCATTCTGCAGCTTTTGTGGTTTTTCTGTATGTCTGGCATGAAGCATGTTTTGGATATCTTGAGAATACATATGTGAAAAACCATGGTTGTCACATAAGTTTCAACATAAATTACCCCAATAAGTTTTCTGTGAACCCACTGATGTTATAACTTCCTACTTTTAAAAAGTTATGTTGATACAATGACCAGTAAAACTACTAGAGCGAAGTGAATGAAGCATTCCTGTCAATAACAGAGTCAACGTTTATTGACAACCTTAAAGATCTGCAGTATCACAGTTTGTTCTTCTTGATCTTACCTCTCCAGGTGATCGAGCGTGTTGTGGTATGACTGCGTGTAGGAGAAAGGGAACCAGCCTTTCCTGTGAAGGAACATTTTACAACATGAGATCACTAATGAATAATAAGCAAGCGTGTCAAACAGCAAGTCAGGGTTGTGTGGGATGAAAACAATTCTCCCTCTCCATTGTCTTACAGCAATATACTGTATCTGTTAACCTTGTTTTCTGGCACTGTGTCCATTACAGCGATGTTAAGCATTATAAGGTGCTCTGAAGTGAAACAGCAGATCACAGAAATGTATTGAGCATACCGTCCGGTTCGTTCATTTTGACCGTAGTGCCACCCGTCTCTGGCCTCAGAGATGAGCAGGGAGATGTTGTCACCAGGCAGGAAGTGCAGTAAACAAGCCCCGCCTCCTGCGCCGCCGCCTGCCTCCGATGCTCCAGGATTGTGAGCGAACATGGCTTCCACACGATTGGGTCCAGATAAAGGCAGCAGCCTGGGGAGACTGGAGCCTTGGTAATGGAGAAAGAGAAAAAAGTGTCACATATTGGGGATTTGAAATGATGAATGCGTGTAAATCCAGCGTTATTGTAATTGTATCTTCAGATTTCAGCTTGAAAGTTTAGTTTTTACTCTCCATCAGCTGTGTTTATGAAGTTACTGCTAATGCAAACACTTTCTGCTACTGCTTTCAATTAAAAGCTTTATAAATCCACACGTAAATCGGACCTTGGCCCGCCACACTCTTCCACCAAGTTTCATTACAAATCTGGCCAATAGTTTTTCTAAATCGAAACTGAGTTTTCTGCTGTAGTAAATGTAAATGTCCCCTCTGTGGGACAAATAAAGGTATTCTGATTCTGACTTGCTAGGGGGAGGGCTAAAAAGGGGATTTAGACACTAAAATATATGGAGGACAAATCATCACATCTTACCCTGAAATCCACCCAGCCTCATCTCACTGTTGGGTCTCCTCGGCAGTGGAAGTGTTGCTGTTGCACTGATGTCCGCGGTCTTCAGCAGCCAGGGGTTATGAGACAGGGTGGAGGTGTTGCTCCCCCCTGGGCCCACCTGTTGGTGCAGTAACTGCACAGGAGTCATGGCCCGGGACAGAGGGGCACTGTGGGGCAGAGGGGGGCTGTGAGGAGCGCTGTGGGCGATGGGGAGGGTCATGCCATGCAGGGGGCCACCGGCTGGAGAGATCTGGCTCAGAGACATCACTGTGGAGGGGATGAGGCTCGGGGAGAGGTTGGCTGTGTGGGCGGCCAGCAGGAGAGAGCCTGGCTGGGCTGAGCCGCTGGACAAAGTGGGGGTGGAGGCAGAGGGGCTGCTGCTGTTGCTGCTGTCAGGGAGGGGGCTGGACAGAGGGGTGCTGCTGTGCTGAGGAGACGCTCCTAGGGATGAACCTCCAGCAGCTCCTCCACTGGAGAGAGAGCTGAAAGTGTGGGGGGAGCCCTGAGGAGGACAGCCGTCACTCTGGGAGGAGGAGGAGGGGAGTGAGCGCTGCTGGGAGCGACTGGAGTCTCCGTTCATCAGGGGAGGGACTTCCTGAACTGAGAGCCTCTGAAAAATCAAGGACAGATATCGTTAACTATCAGAAATTAAAAGTCGTTGTTAAAAATGTAATTTAGTCGTGGTCTTACTAAGGTTTTTAGCATTTAAGAGTACTCAAGACATCTGACTGTCTGGTGACTTCAAACCAGAGTTGGCCAAATCAAAAGAGACCTCCTACCTTGAAGTTTGACACTAATGATTTGTGACTTGGACTTTAAACCTTTGATTTGGAACATCATCTCCAAATGATAAAAAAAAAAAAAGAATCAAACTAATAATCAGCTATTGATTATTAGCTGTTCTTAGTTCTATAATGACTATTTATGGACTCAATTAAAAAAAGTGAAGGACTTGGGAATGAACTCTTAACTTCATAGCCAGGCTTCAGGAGTTACCAAAGTCAACAACTAATAATAGACTTGTTTTGTGTGTTTCATACAATGAACCCATGTAATCCAGCTGAGATTAGGATTAAGTCCAAATAACATATTTTAACCATCTGACAAATGAATGACCTGACCTGTTCTGGCTGAGCAGAGCCAATCTTGGTGTGGCGGAGGACCTCGGCTATCCCTGCAGCTCCTGAGCTCTGAGGCGCGGTGTGGCGCAGCAGATTCAGAGCGCGCTCGGGGAGTTTAGTGGGCAGTGAACATGACTGATGCCACGAGGACAGCTTCTGTGACAGAAGCTCTCTCACCTGGATTATATTCAAAAGCAAAGAAAAACACTTAAAAGATTAGACTTTTCCCTGTTGGTAACAAATGAACAGACCAAAACCATCAATGCATTTTCCTTCAGTACTTTATAACTTCTGTGACACCCCAGGCCGGGCAAGTTCAAAAATATCATCTTTTATTTTTCTGAAATGCTTAATTAATACGTAAATGCATATGATCACCTTGGAGTGGTAGTTGACGAGCAGTTTGGTGACACTACACTGTCGATCCACCAGGAAGCAATATCGTCTCCTTTCCTCAGTGAGCGCAGACTTGTATCCCGACGCAACCAGCGTGTCCAGCTCGACCTGACGACGACTCATTAGCTCCACAAACTGAAGGAAAAGTCAGAGAGGTTTCACTGCAAACTTTGCACCTTCCTTAATTAACAATCACATGCGTACATGTAGTACTCAAGGATGACCTTTAACGCACATTGTACGGAGAGGGGAATATGTGAGATCATTTCCTGACTGTTGCACAATGATAACATAATCCAAATCTTAAAGTGCTACCCTTTTGCCCCGCTGACCTTTCCTTACAACGATAAACCCTTTCACCCTCTTAGATCCTTCATATTTCTTCCGCTGGAGGCCTCCGCGCTAAATTGCTTGTTTTCTGAAGAATCAGCTGAGGCAGATTGTTTTTAATCTCACTCACACTGATCTATTTCTTACTCAAATACTCACAGTTATGCTATGACGCTGAGGGAGATGTTTAGGATATTTATTTAGGAACTGTAGTGAATGTTTCTGCATTTTGCTAATAAACCTGTTCATTAAATAGGCTATTTGTTTCCGTCCATATGGAGCTGCTGTGGGCGTCTCATACCTGCATCTCTCTGTCTCCATATTTGTTCGGGTGGCGACTGCCCTGACTCTTCCTGCGGAGTTTCTTCAGCTGGGACTGGCATCGCTCAATAGACTCAGATTTAGACCTCCGATCACTCTGATACTTCTTCAGGGTGGCCTGAAAGGGAAGAGGAAAAAATGATTTATTAACAATGTGTGATGAGACGAGAGCTGTGCTGCTGCACTTTTATTCGTCAAGCCACATTTACTTTAAAATTTTATTCTGTTACATTCATTTGAAATCATGCTTTTGTTACATTGTATAAAAAGTGATTCAACTTATTTCAACTTACTGTGAGGTATTTAATATCCAGTTCCAACTTCTGCTCCAACTGGGCGAGCAGCTCAGAGTGAAATAACTTTAACTGTTGATGGAAAAGAGCCACATGCAACCTTTAAACATTATGAATATGAATGGATATCCAGTAAGTTATGAGTTAAAACACTATATTTTGACTCAAAAGAACAGTTTTTTGAGCGTTTTGTGATGATTTAAAAAATATATCCAGATAAAAGATACACATAAAGAGGCATTTTCCACAGCTGAGTCGAGTCTTACCACGTCTTCCAGCTGCACCTGAATCTGTCTGTGGACCTCGGCCATCTGAAACAGTGTGTCTCCTGTGAGCAGCAGCACAGCACAGGAGAGGGAAGGCCATCAGTGTTACACACATTTGATGTTAGACAAGCTTGCGATATGTTAGAGTGCATCTTTAACCCCATGCAGAACATCTCAAATCTGTGCTCTATTAAATGCTATCCACATCATGACACATGCATGAGCACGCCTCAGTGAAAAAGACATAAAACGTTCAGTTTTCACACAGTTTCTCATTTACAGAGTGTCGGTCAGCTGTGAGCCCCCCCCCCCCTCTCAGTCACACAGCACTGTAGTATGCGGTGGCTGGCATCTCGCCCTCCACTCTCCTGCCTGCCTCCCCCGCTGTTTTCAGCATTACAATGAGATCATGTGGTGTTGTTAATCTCCCAACAATGACCCTACTCTCTCCCTTTCCCTCTCTTCTCTCCCTCTCTCCCTCTACATTTCCTCATTCCCTCCTGTCTTCATCTCCTCCCTTACCAACGCAGACTATTTTCAACTTATCTCCAGCTGTCACGACGACTCTCTTAACTTTATTAGCTCCAACACTAATTCATTTTTATTTCCCCTCAGCACGGTGCTTCTCCACCAGCCGCCCACTCACCCAGCTCTTTGGAGCCCTGGCTGTCGCTCGCCAGCTCTCCAAGTTTCACCAGAGCATCAAAGTACCCTTTGGCCGCCACAGTGACTCCTGAAACAAGAGTTCATTTTAGGAAAAATAAAAGAAATATCCTGTTCAGTAATCCATACAAATCAAAGGCGAGTGAATGATCCTGTATTTGACTGACCGGTCAGGGCTTTCTCGTAGTGTTTCCCCATGGTCACAAAGTTCTTCAGACTGGGGTTGAACTGGTCCAGGATCCCCTGTTACACACAAATAAATGACAGGCAGATTATGACACTCTATTCTTACTCATTTCTAACATTTTACTATACTGTATTAAGTGTTTGTGCAGACAAATAGAGAGAGGCGTCATACCTTATATACATTTTCTGTCATCTTGTTGACCTCCTCGGTTCGAGACATTTTCCTTTTCTTGGTTTTGTGCTGGCACTGTGTTTGTTGTGTTGTTTATTTCTGTTGTTCTGGGCCCTAGGCTTTATAGCAGACAGCAAACCCCTAAAAGAGAAAAGACAAAGAAAGAAAAGTGACATGAGTAATAACCTTTCACATGGACTCAAAGGAAAGGAAAATGCCAAAGCACTTGTTTGTCTTATCTGTACCCAAGCTGAAATTATTAGTCGATATGCTGATTAGTTAAAGGGCAGGAAATGTAATCTTTTCAAAATGTTCAATGTTTCAAACTTGTTATAAGTTAGAATGTGCTGCTTTTTTTAATCAAACATTATACTAAATGTAACTTATTTTTCAATGTGGCTCGATTGTGGGAAAACAAACAAGAAAAACATAGATTCCATAGCGGCTCTGGGAGATTAAATAATCAATACAGAAGAATTATGTTAATAAACAACGACAAGTGGCAAATAATTGTGAAGGCACACATGTGCAGGAAATCTCCTAAAATCAGTTTACTAATACATCGTAGGAAGGTTTAAAGTATCATAACCTCTCTCTAAGGCTTCCCTGCACAGAAAGTGCATATTTGAAATTATACTTGACTATTCAGTGCTTGCACTTTCTCTATCAAGTGTGAGATTTAAATCAGCCAGAGGTCTTTTAAGGCCATCGAACCATCACACCAAGTGATGAGGGTGTCTCACGGTCCTGGGTTTTGTCTGAGGGCAGCAGTGTTATATTCACATGGATCTTATTTAGGCTCAGCTGCCAGTTTCTGCATTATCAATTCACCACAGTACGGCAACCACAATATTTCTCCTAGATTCGAGAGCCAGACGAGTTATACCATCTCAGATAAGAACAATGGGCTCCTCCAGTCCGAGTCACAGGTGTCAGAGCACTGAACAAACACGCAACATCAATGTTTCCTCGGCAGAGAGGACGATCAGGGGGGACTGCTTCAAGGTCGAGAGGTTTCCATTCTGAGTTGAATGGTAAAATGCTCATTTGCTTTTCACTATGCAGTCCTCCTTTGTTTTAACAACAAAATGATTGAGAAAACGTTGACCCAGATCAACTAACTGTATATGAAACAAAGCTAACATTTCCACACTGTTGCTCATTAAGGCCACCCGGGTGTAGACTGTAATTTGTCAGAGGAGCTGTGAGCAGGATAACTCAGAGAAGAGGGAGCTTGATCATAATGCTGTCTGATTTTAATTAGTTTGAAGCACTTGATAACACTGCACATACTTTCAAATGATAAAATATATTAAGGCTGGATAAAAGGCATGTTTGAATGTTTGTTCAGCTTCTAGATGAAATAAAGTGTTGCTTGTTTCCGGATGCAACAGGAACAGTCTGCAGGTGGTCTGGAAACTGATACAGAAGGTGCATTCATGTGCCCTCTTCACATATCTTCCAATGATTTGGAAGCAAACATTGCATTTAACAAAACTGTAATGTCCCTAAATTATGAAAATATTGGTGTGATCAGCAGTAAAAGCATCTGGAACTATTTGTACAACTTATTAATCGTTATTCATTTTTAAAGCAAAAGTGCCCAAAAAATTATTGTTCCCAAGTTTGAGGATTTGCTGTTTATTTCTGTTTTATATGATTGTTAAGGTGAATATGTTCTGGTTTTGGGATTGCCGAGTCATTTATGATGGCATTTTAAACTACTCTGACATTTTCCAGTTGCAGCCCAAATGTCACTGCAGCATTTTAATTGCCAAAAACTGGCTGAACCAAAACAAAACTGTATTTAAAGGACTCATGCATGCAAAAATAACTTTGCATTTTTTGTGGTATTAAATGTTTCTTGTCCAGTGTTGTGGCTTTCAGAAACTGATCCATTTATTTATTTATTGCATTTATCCAAAGATCAGTTAATGGTGCAGCATTGCAGCTTAACCAGTACTGATCCGTGTCTTCCACTCCATCTCATTTCATCAACTCAATTAGTGAGGAAAAAGCAACTACACAAAAAAAAAAGTCCAGCAATGTGTTGCATTTAAACACGAATAAATACAACGGGTAATATTTTTTCCTGAGTAGAAAAAGCACCCTGTAATTTGCCTCGACAGTGCAGCTGCTACCTGTTGATCTCTCAGCTCCACTTCCAATTTGTAAAACAGTAACACATAATTCGGCTACTTAAAAATAAATAAAAGTTACATACCTTTTCTGAACTCATTGTGGGAAACGATAAAGGCTTCCTGCGCGTCTTTGAGCATTAAATGAACGGTACAACACCCCCGCTTTTCTTCCCAATAGGCTACTTTCCCTCTTCGTTAGTTAGTGGGGGGTTGTTTCATCCAGCAAGGCAGTAAATCTCAGCTCCCCTCCACCCCTTTTTCACATGCCTCTCTTCCCTCCTCTCTCTCACACTTTCTCCCTCTCTCTGCCTCTCTCTACTCCCGGGAATCGGGGTCAGGTATTTGGTGCCGTTCAGTACCTCTCCTCATTACTGAGCCGATTATCAACATGCCTTCACGCCCGCAGAAAAACCGGACAGAAAACGCAGCGAGTGAAACCCCCGCCCAGTGCAACCAGCTCCTCCGTCAGCCTCCCTTTCTGTGTCTCCCTTTCTGTGTCTCCCTCTCTCTGTCACTCGGGCGGAATAACAATGAGCCAACGGGACCCCGGATGAATGGGAGCAGGAGGAGAATAATGACTTGAACTTTTTAAGCCAAAGACAGAACAGGCCTACCACTGGCCTACATTCACCAGGACCATCACACATAGGGCTGCTGCCCATTCTCACAGGGGGGACACAGGGGGAGGAAGAGGAGGAGGACGGGGCCTGCACAGCTCTTTAGTTACTGCAGGAAGCTGCTGGGAAGATTAAAGGCTAATGTAACAAATAGAGGTGCTGGAGAGGAGAAGTTAAAGTGTCAGGGTCAGTGGGGAGTTGATGCATTTACTCGAGTACTGAACTAAATTACAATATTGAACATATGTTATGCTCTTTATACTTCTGTTTACTTCAAAAGAAAAATAAATGTGTCACTCACTCCATTATATTCCCTTGACATGTTTATTAACTTTTCATATTCAAAATATTAATATACATTTCCTAATAATTGATGATGTGTTGTTATAAGTTAAGTGACAACAGTTTCTGAAGTGATTAAAATGAACCCCACATTTATTAGCTGCAATTTTAAAGTGATGCTATACACATTCATGCTTCAATAATTCAATTAAATCACATTATACAATAAAAAAAAATGCACAGAGTGTTTACAACCTAATAATAGTACATCAAAATATGAATACAAAAGGTCATGACCTATTGTTTCTAAATTATACAAGCATAATAATGATAAAGCATTGCACTTGTGTGTGATTGTCATGTTATTATTCCACTTAACAATGATTTAGTATGACATGTTGTACTTTTTATTGCATTATTATATAGTTATTTGACAGATGGAGATTGAAGTAGCATAATAATAACAGTATTTAAAATAGAAAAACTTAAAAGTGAATCCACTTCACTTACTGTCTTTGCCTTGATTCTAGGGATAAAAGCTGCTGCCGGAGAGAAGACAGCGGCAAACTATGAAATATTTACAAAAAAACCTGTGAAGAGCAAGCTACCGCCTTCACATTTCTTGTTAAATGTACAAAATAACAAATAAAGGCAGTAGAAATTGTCATTGTGAAGAAATATTTTTCACAAAAAATGAACTCTGGCTGTTGGCTATTCAAAACTCTTGCAATAATAACATTTAAACACTGTGTTGAATTGTTTGCATGTGAGTCCAATCATCAAGTGTTCACCAATACTGACTATTACTGTGTATTTATTATAGTGGAGCAGAGTATTTTTCCCTTTAATATGGTGGAGTGGTCTCAGATCAATCTAGCCATGTGCTTCAAAACTGTGCATTGTATAAAGGGCCCAAAAGTAAAAATCTATTGACATTCAGGTGTCTGACTGAAGCTGTGTTTCTTTGCAGTTGCAGGTTTCTCCCAGGTGGGGGCGATGTGTGACATCACTTCCTGCTGCACTTCCCTTGCAGAAACCTGAACATCCACAGCTGGTGGTGCAACAAGTGCAGGCTTTAAAGTATCACTGTACTACATCAGTACCATCTTAGTTATTACTACAAAGATCAAACTGTGTATTTGAGACCAAAAATGCCAGGTAGGAATGGTCATACACCACTTAAACTGAAAGGCAATCAATTAAACATTCAGCACAGCTCACATGCATACTATTTATATACATTATGTTAATAATATGTAAAAGCAAAGCAATAAATCAAAAATAAATCTAGGAAAAAATGTCGTTATGCATGAGGAGGCAGACAGAGTATAGTAACAGATCCAGGGGACACATTGGACTCCTCACACTTTTCACGTTTTATATACCTATTCAGTATTTGTCTGGATCTCTTGTAATCAGGTTGGTTTACTCAATGTCACTTTGTTCAACTGGTCATAGTTCTAGTTTGATAACAGACTCTGAATTTTGTCAGTATTAGTCATATCGGAATTTTAAATTGACAACTAAATGTTAGCTCTAAAGGCAGTTTAAGATCTAATCAAATACTGCCAGCCATTTAAAAATAATAGCGTGAAAAGTATATGTTTAAATTGTGTTATATTTGTAGGTTTGTTATTATGTAAATGTGCCAGATACTTTTTGAAACAGTTTTCTAAAAAGTAAGATCCTAATTAGTCCCTTGAGTGGACATTTAATTAATTGAAACATTGATTAATCTAATCTAATTTTTTATTTTAATGTAATCAACATGCTGGATCCATAGTTTATTTGCCTAGTGATTTTCTAAACTTAAATCAACCATCTGCTGTCCTGCCTTTGCCTCGTTGGCCCTCAGTCAGACCGGTGGACAGGAATTAAAAAGACCAATTAGTCCCGTGCTGAGATCCAAGTGAGCTGCTTGACGCCGGAGCAGAGCCAATGAGAGATTCCTGGTACAGAGGATCTGAGGTCAATTACATGTAAGTGTTAATGTAGGCTAGAGTTATATTCAATAAAGTCAGAAATCCACATTAATAGAATACAAATGAAGATGGCACTGATGTCTAAGACTCAGCAGTAAAAGAGGAGTGGTCTTCCAAGAGAAACACAAGCAGAAAGAGGGGAGGAGAGCAAAGTGGGAGGTAGAGACAATGAAGGAGGGATAAAAGGAGTTGAGCTCTCCACTCTTGTGTAAATCTCTATTAATCTGATCAGACTCTGCAGAGGGGAGACACGGCTGCAGGCTCAGGGACTCTGAGGTAAGAACACTCTCACAATGTTCATTTAACTCTTCTTTTATTCAAATATTGAAAAAGTAAAGAGGCCAGTTAAGAGCCAAAGTGTGGCTCTGCTTTAACCTTTTACCATTCAGATGCAAAGAAACATTAACCCTTTTTTTAGAAAACTATTTGGACATTGTTAAAAAATAATAAATAGTTGATCATTAAAATATAACATGAAACAACTAATTGATTATTGATGTCAGTTACTAAAAGCATTTTAGTTTATTTATTTATTCATTTTTAGTCAAAAGACGTAGAGCCAGCCAAGACGTCCTCAATGACATGGTTGTCCAAACCTTTGTTCGAAATGTGTTCACTAAATTGGGAAAACATATTCCTCGAAAACAAGGTCAGTGGGACAATGGATCCTTGCAAGGATATTGGTGTAAACTATAGGAATATGTGTTATATATATATTCTATGTTCCCAAGTGTTTATTTTGAGGGAAATTAATGGATTCAAATTAATTACAATATAATATATTTAGTTTAATGGATGTTTTAGAAACATCGGCTGCAGAGTTCACAATAAAACGTAAATCAAAAAATCATTCACTGTCTTAAAAATTGGAGCTGACCATGAGAGTGAATAAGAGGGTGGGAGGAAGGGATAAAAGTCTTACGAAGTTTCATTAGAAAAATGAAAAAGCCAGTTTTTTCCAAAATCTTTAAATGAGACAACTAATGCTAATTTCGACCAAAAAAACAACATGTTTCCGATAATTGATATTCCGTCTGGCATTATTTTAGCAGTTTATTCTACATGTAACTTCTTGATTTATATAAATATAAATGTAACAGAGTATTTAACACAATAGCCATTCAAAATATAAAAAACTTTACAATGATATAACAACGGTGAAAATATAATTTATAAATGGATTATAAGCTAAGGACGCATCTTGCAGGTTTAAGTAAAACATGTTTGACCTCATCTAACACCAGACAGCCTGGCAAGTAAACAAAGCAGCAGCACTCTGCATTTACACTATGGGATTTACACTGAAGAAGTATTTCCTGAACTTTGATCTATTTTGTGTCTCAACAAATTTTGTGCGAGCCAAAAAAAAAACGATATTGACATTGATCTTGTAATGCACTGGGATGTTTATAGTTTTAACGCCAGATCCATTCTCCGTCAAGAAATCTGTTTACCAGTAGAGACTTCCTTATTTTCTTTCTCAGAGTCCGATGTTTTTTATTCACGGATCTAACTTCTGTTGTCAGTTTGCAATTTGGGATTAATCTCACTACTTAAATCCACCTTGAGCATATGGTGCACGACCACAGGGTTCACCATGGATTATCTCACCAATGCGCACACACACACACACACACACACACACACACACACACACACACACACACACACACACACACACACACACACACACACACACACACGCGCGAGCCCACTCATCTCTGGCTAAGGTAGCACAACAACTGTTGGCAATTAGGTTAATTAAGTGACCTCTGGGCATAAGGTCACGGCTAAACTGTGGCGATTGGGTGTGAAACGTTTCTGTACATAGACCATCTGTCTGTCCTCTAAGCCCCGTAAATCACAGCAGGATCTGCAGAGACAGAAAAACACCTTTAAGTTCAGGGGTTGTTACTCCTTTTTACTGATAAGACACGTTAGTAAAAATTCCTTCTCAATTCAAAATAAATAAGGAATTGTTTTTTCTGTTTTGCAGCTCAATAATTGTTTTGCATTTAACTTACTTGGTATAATGAAGGCAGTGGTGATCATTTTTACACAACATACTATGTCTGTATGTAGTTCACCATGTTTTATTATTGATATAGTGCAGTGAATCATGTATGAACTATCATCACACACACACACACACATTGTGTAGGCTGGTCACTGCGAGCAACAGGTGGTCTGGGAGGTTTAGCTGCCACATCACGTGTGTGCCATTTCGAAATGTCGGCCCTGTATAATGAAGGACATGCTACAGCGCTCAGAGGGTCAGCGAGCCTTTGTGATATAGACACAGGAAAAATAATACTGCTTGTTAGGGTTTGGGGATCGTTTGGGATCCAGACTTTAAACAATAAACTGTTAGTTTTTTTACTCTTAAACATTAAAGTTCAAGTCTATACAAAATATGTAATGTGTCCCTGCAGGCTTAATTTGGGCTTCAAGGAAGTACATCACATTCATTTAAACTAAAAGCGGAGTGTCTCGTCGTCTGGTTAATTTAGGATGTCACACTTGTGATTTGGACTAATCCTCCTTGCCATGTGAGTTGGCTGGTCAGACAGACGCAGCTGAGGAGGTCATCCTCCATCATCCTGCTGAGCACTGAACACGTTTACA